AGCAGCATAGTGCTACACATTCGTGCTGACATTTGGTATTGTCAGGATTTTTAGATTTTGCCCATCTCTGGGTTTGTAGTGATATCTCATTGTGGTTTTAATTTGCATTTCTCTGATGACTAATGAGGCTGAGCACCTTTATATCTTTATTGGCTATTTGGTATGTCTAAGCCTTTTCCCCATTTCTCTATTGGATTGTCTGTCTTTCATTGATCTGTAGGAGTTCTTTATATATCCTGGATATGAGCACTTCTATGGCTTATCTTTATGTTATCTTAGGATAAAAGGAAAAATTTAATTTTAATGCAGTTGAATTTATCATTATTTTCTTTTATGGCAGTACTTTTTGTGTATGTTTAAAACGTATTTCCATATATATTTTCTTATGTATTATTTTGTAAAATTCTGCCAGCCTTTTAGATTAGCATCTTCCTTAGCCATTTTCTACTCACATGATTGCACAGTGTCTCTGACTCAGCAAGCGTTCTTGTCTTCGGAGTAGGGGGATTCTGTAAGACATTTTGCCATTCCTTTGTGAACACAGGGCTTATGTTCCCCTTAAAGTGCAGAAGTCATGCTACACCCACCCTCCTTTTCCAAAACGTGTGTCTCCTCCTCTCTTGGGTCTCTGAACTTGAGATTCTGGGCTTAGGCCTCCTCCCTATTTCTTTCAATGCTATGCTTCTCATAGCCTCTCCTCAATTTCATCCTTGATGGTTTTCAGGGTTCTTCCTGGGTACTACTGAAGAGGCCAGATTACTGCTCTCCATCCCCCAAAGCATAAGGATTGCAGCCTGATGGGAGGAAGGAGGTCACCTTTTCCTTTCATCACACATCCACACCACTCTGTTGCCCAATTTTACCTTCCAAAAGGAGACAATAGGTAGATTACAGATCTGTCGTTGGTAAAACTAACTGCAGGGTATATCAGACAAACGTTTCCATGTGTGTGTATGCATGTGTGCATTTGTGTTTAGGGGAGGGGGTTCAAGGAAATTAAATTAAGTATTGTAGTGTGCTCTTTCTTGAGCATTTTTAGGAGCTGCAAGTGACACTCTTATTTTGTATCAGTACTCCCCAGTTGACATCAGCCTGTATTTTCACTGTTTATTTTTATTAGCAGGGTTTATGTGATGCTCATCCTACCCTGTTCATGGAACGGAGACTGAGAGTGAAAAAGTTCCATGTGACCCAGCAGTTTGATTCCCTCCCTAATCCATTTCTCTCCTGTCCTCCAGAGACTAGACTAAATATCCAGGGGAGAAATAATCCCAGTTGCAGCGCGCACTCAGAATAATAAGTGCAGTCAGCTGCCTCACTCTGTCAGGTCTGTGGAGGAAACCAGAGGGATTTTAAAAGTCCCCAGTTAACCCGGTCAGTAATATATCCATTTCCTCAGGTCCTCTTCCTATCACTCTGAGCCCATAGCTCTCCAAAATATTGATCAGTCTGAACTGGTAGCCTTCAGCACCAGACCCTGTACTCTCCTTACTTGTACTTTCTTATAGAGTATTTTCTATCTGTTTGTAAACGTGCATTTTTCTGTGGAGGAAGGGTTTACAGCGTTCATCTGATTCTCAGAGGGATCTGCTAAACTGAATGTTGAGAACCACTGAACTAGACTTTTCAACTTTTTCCAGGTCAATCCCAAAGAAGAAGGCCTCTTACTTTACATATCCAAGGAATATTGGGCTGCCAGTTTCTAACCCATATACTGTTGTGTGTGGACACGGTTCTGAAAGCTGTCTTGCATCCTTAATAGTCTTTTATATTCATTTCTTCATTTTTCTACCCATTTATCCACCTGTTTATTTATCAGTTATTGAGCACGTAGATTGATTGTGCAAGTTGCTGTAGAATATACAGAAATGTATAAGATATAATTGGTGAGCATATAGTCTTAACAGATGAAGTAAGTCATATACATGGATAACACTAATATAGTGAAGAAATTGAGAAGTGCCATAGACGAGATATAGATAAATTGCTTTGGGACTTTAGAGAAGGGAGAAATTACTCTTGCGTGGGGCGGGTAGGGAGGGATGGAGAGGATCTGGGAGGACCATGTGCTGGATTCTGGGTTATAGAAAATCCAAGCCATTTGGACTAGGTCCTGAGAGATGGATAGATTTTAGATATGTGGAGATGTTAGATGCAGTGTGCTATCTCTGGTTCTTTACTCATTCAAATGAGGCATTGAGTACACACTGTGTCAGGCCTACCATGTCACTTCATGGAGTTTATCAGGGAAGATAGACTCTGAAGGGGTCGTTTCCTAGTTAATTGCTATATTAATTAATTCATTCAGCATATATTTGAGTGGCTACTAAATGTTGTTCTCAACTCTTGGAATACAGCAGTGAATAAAATAGCCTTTGTGCTCATGAAACCTACATTCTAGTTGGGAGACAGAAAGTAAATAAGTATATAATGTATTGTCAGATAGTGATAGGTGCAGTGATGAAAAATAAAGCAGGGTAAGAGAATAGAATGATGATGGTGAGGTGGGGCTATTTTAGTTAATGTGATCAGGGAAGGCCTCTCTGAGAGGAGGACATTTGAACAGAGCCCTGAACAAAATGAAGAGAGCGAGCCCTATGAATAGCTGGGCAAAGAGTCTTCCAGATAGAAGGAATAGCAAATGCAAAAACCTCAAGATGGAAGGTTTTAATATTCTAGGAATAGCAAGAAGATCTCTGGGATTGGAGTGTAATTTGCAAAGGAAGAAGTTGTAGAAAATGAGAATGGAAAAATAGATATGGGCCAGATTTGACAAGGCCTTGTGGCATGGAGATAGAAGGATGTTGGAAAGCTGTTGGGAGAATGACGTGGTCTGATTTATGCTTTAAAAGGATCACTCTAGCTGCTTTGTCTGAAATGGAGATCAGGAGACCAGTTATTGCAGTAGTTCAGCAAGCGGAGAAAGGTTGCTTGAATTTGTGTAATAACAGTAGAAATGGCAGGTGTGAAATCAGGACTTATGTGAGAAGGCAATGTTCACAGAGGAGAGCTGGTTTTATAATTGTATATTAATTTAAAGACCTGGCTGTGGCTTCACTCATATGTTCTCATGCAGGAGGGGAATGAATCTTTTTAGGGATTTCTCTGGGTGAACTTGTTTTTTTTTTTTTTTTTTTTTTTTTTACTGTCAAAGAAAAGGAGCCTTGTTTGTTTTAAACTTCTTATGGAAATAATGAACAAATGAATAATTAAAAGAATGAATGAATGAATCTCACAAGTGAAAACATGGCAAGAATTGAAAGAAAGTTTCATTAAATATATTCAGAAATTGGGAATCAAGTTTTCAAAGAATCATTAAAAGGCACAATTTTGCTCAGAGAAATTAACCATTGTTTATAAGTTTTTCTCTTGTCACGTTTTCGTGAAGTTAATTTTTTAAAAACTTTGGGAATATATTTTTAAAGTCTATATTCTGATTGTGAATATCTTTGTAATATTTTATTAGTATTTTCTGGGTGGATGTAATATTAATTGTCTGGGGATGGTTATATTAATTGGAATCTGTGACATTAAAATGTTTTGGGAAGGATTTCTTTTAATAACTTTTTCTGCCTTGTATAAGATGATCTTGCATTAAGCATGATCTTTGTGTGATCTAATTCGAATGTGAATCTGGTTTGTTGAAGGCAGGCACCTATTTTGAAACCTTGAGATTAAACTCAGAAAAATATTAGATGCTCAGATGTAAACACAGAGAAACTGCTAGAGAAGCTCACTCACTCCTTCAGGTCTCTGCTTGAATGTCGCTTCCTCCAGGACGCACCTCCTAATCACCCTACTGGTAAACTAGCCTCACTCCCTCGTAACCAACATATTTTTACTGTGTATGTTTTTACTAGCACTTATCACTATTAGACAGTTTTGATCGTGTACACTTCTGTATCTTTGCCACCTAGAACAGTGCCTGGCACCATGAAAGGTACTCCATAATGATTTGTTGAATGAGTAAATTGTTTACCATCTAGCTCCCCACTAGAACGTAGTCTTCATGAGGGTGCCTGGCATGAGGTTGGCCTTCCAAAATTTGTTTGAAAGAATGAAATGAATGTGCTACCAGTAGTGATCAAATTCATTTTTTACATTTATGTATATACATATGTGATCATGTTTTAATTATATGTTTAAATTGCACGTGGATTTCTCATCCAGAAATAGACTCTTAAAAGCATGTCATGTTCTAAGTAACATCTAGAACCTACAAAATCTGCTGTCTTTTTTGCTAATCTAGATGGGCAGGTTTATGTATAGGGTCACTTTTTTTTCAGTGACTAAATGCCTGGTTTATTTTAATATAATACCCATAGAAACCAAAGAGTACTGTCATAGGACTGTCATGTGACAGATTCATTAAATGGATTAATGTCTAGATTTTTTCTCCTGTTTGCTTCATTCTTTTTTTAATTGAAAATATTTGACATATTGTGTAATGCTTTATTCTTATTGCTAGTGTAAATGTCCATCAGTTGTGTGCTTTCTATACTGATTTTAGGCCTCAAAGTGGAGAATTAAGGGTTTATATTTTCTATGAGAATATTTTATAAACTCTTGTTTGCGCTTAATTTTGCTTTTTCCATTTCATCTTATATTCTTGTGGTGTCATTTGGGAGTGCAGTGACGTATTATGTTGAGTCCTTTTATCATTTCCCAGCATACTAATTGATCCCATGTGATGAACCCTTATGAAGCAGCATAGTGCTTCTGGTATTTAGGGCCTTTGGAGGAGAGGGGATGAAAATGTATATCAGATATGGCATTAATCTTGGGCATCTTGAAGAGCTGAGTGCCAACCTGGCGCTGCTGGATCAATCATCTCCATAAGGTAGTCTGTGCATCTGGAAATTAAGGATCCTTTTTCAAACATTGGTAAGTCTCCAATGCTGTGAGCTTCTGAATGTGCAGTTTTTTCCTTAGGAAAGAAAAATATGCTTTTTCCCTTTCTTCACTCCAGTGATTTAGCAGAACCTTTCTATTTTCTTCAGGTAATTAAACCAGACAGCAATGACAAAGAAACAGAAGGTGCCTATGAATCAGATCTCCCTGAGGAGTTCTGTGGAAGCCATCTCCCACAACAGTCTCTGAAAGGCTATAATGACAGTCCTGATGTCATCATAGAGGCTCAGTTTGATGACAGCGACTCAGAAGATGGACATGGCAACACACAAAATATTGTGGTTGATGGTGTTAAGAAACTCTCAGTTGGTGTTCATGAAAAAGGTGAGTACTAGACTGCTGTCTGACATTTTATTTTAGTAAACTGATTGTTTTAAGTATTGGAATTCTCTCTGTGCTACAGAGTTAATCACACAATACAATTGGTATCGTCCCAATTTCTGACCTGTGGCAGCTTTTAGGAAAGGGGGGTCTTTGTAGGCTTCCGGCTGCTGGTTATGAGGAGGGGATGAAAATGCTGCTGGTGGTTTGTGTAGTCAGTGGTTGCTGTTGTCGTTTCCTAATAGGTTTTGAGTTGTGTTGATAACTAACCTTGAAATTTCCTGTAATGAGCCCACTCCCACCCTGTGATTGATATGAGCAGAATTAAACCCATCTTTAAAATCCTTACAAAAAAGCCCTTCATTTTTCCTTGGATTTTGCTTTAACTCATTACATTTTAAAAGCATTTCTGTCTTTGGTGGTGGAAATGGATCACCTTAAATTTGATAAGTAGATTATTTTTACAAAGTATGGATTCTAAACCTTTGTAAAAGCTAGTTTTATTTTCTCTGATCAAACTCAGCCTTGAGTCCTCTGGATGCAGAAGAAGGCAGTTGCAAACACATGAGCGAGGAGCTGTGACCAAGGGCCTTACTTGACCATGCTCTGGGAAACTTAAGGGAAAGTAGCAGTGGAAATTGGAATATTTCATTGTATAGGTTTCTAAGAGGTTTTAAGTGCAGGGAGTATATTTTCCAGCCAAATTGAGTTTTATGTATACTATTAAACAGAAAAGATTGACCTGGCTAGGCTGACTAGATTATGAGCTTTTTTTTATCAGGAAGAACACTCTGGCACAGTCCCCATGAAAGGCTAGAAGAAATGCCAGAAGATTACTAAAGGAGGATGCTCAGCAGACACCCTGTGACAGGGACTGGTGAGCACACCTCACTGACATCCTGAAGAAAGCTGGAGGTACTTTCAGGAAGTGACTGCATAAGGATCACCCTGTTTCTCTGCTGTTGACGAGGTCGTGACCTGGGCAGTGAGCATTTTCTGAAAGCATGTGTTGCTTTTTGATGCCAGGTACTACTCATGCAGGAGGACTTTCCAATTTTGAAATTCTTTTTGAATGAAGAGCCTACTGCTTTCTCACTGTCCTACCAGGTGGACCGACCTGATGGCATCCAGGTTCCTTTTGTTTTGTGGCCTAGTTAGATAACTAGTGGTTTCACTGTTCAGGGCCCAGCCAGTTTCATTTGGATGTTATTCCTTGAAATTTCATTCTTCTTTATTCATTTAAAAACAGTTGGGTACTGTGATCCTCTTCTGAGCATGTGTATATATTATCATAATGGTGTCAGTACTGTAAGTCATGTCTTTTCTATGAGAAGAGAGGGAAATAACTAGGACCCTAAATAGCCAAATCCTTCATCAAAAGGATCACCAAGGGAGAGAGATACTTGCAGGACAAAGCCAGGCAAAGGAGCACTTTAAAACGTATTGAGTATTTGGCCCAAAACTATTTTGTGGAAACGTAGCTCTGGTGATTGGACTCGGCAGGCCTCAGCAGCCTCTTTTCCCCTGGGCTCCAAGTTGAGGGATAAGATGCCTTGATTTCTCATTAGTGGTTGGTACTAATACAAGGGCAAGGAAATATTGATGGATGGAAGTGATGGCACAACTGATGCCTGGGGCGGATACTAATAATTCACTTTGCCCTTTGTTTGGGAAATTCTGATGCCAGATCTGCTTTAGATTTGTCCTCTATTGTAATTCTTCTCTTTCTGTCTTACAACCAAATATCATTAAGTGCTTTACAAATCCACTGTATGCATGTTTTTTCCTTACTCTTTTTACAGTCTTCCTATCCTACTGTTATTTATGTTGCTTCCTTACTAGCCCTGACTGAGGGAACAGCCTTAATCCTTCTCTCAGTATCTGGTACAAATTTCTTTTTCCTGTTAGCCTTTAAATAGAGAGTTTGTGAAACCACATGGCTGTTTCTCATTTCTTGCCCTCTTGATATTTAGGAAAATTGCAATTTGCTCTTTTAAAAATCATCGTGTTTTTTAGGATATTTCAACTAGCTTCTCTTCTCTGGATAATATAAAATGTGGTTACAGTTAAGATGTCAGTACTTTTTGCACCATTTAAGGTTTTGAAATTTGTTATTGAAACAAACCATAACCTTAAGAACATCATAAACTTTTCCTAAGACATCTAGAAAGTTCTTTGCTTTGTGTTGTAATTGCAAATGGGTTATTAATCCTAGTTCACACTTGTGTTCAAAAGAGTGTTTTTTGTTTATTTTTGTTTTAATATCATGTTTCTATACCCAAAGCAAGTATTACATATTGCATATGTATGCATCGTATGTTTCTGTTTGACCAGGAAACATTCGTATCGTTACGATAACTACCAGTTTCTCTGGTAAGTGAGCAGAGAGCTCCAGCTGTCTGCAGCAAGTGCCTGTTGTTGCATTAAGAGAAAAGTTTCTCTGGGCATCTCAGACCTACACAATAGTTTCTTCTAGGAAGACAGCATGGATCTGCATCATCCTCAGCCCCTGAGAGAGAGTGGGCCAAAGACCTGGGCCCCTTTTGTAGATCCAGTCCCATAGCCTCCCGAGTCTGAGCTTTTACCACTTTCCAGGCATTAATGTTGTTGTCAGCACAGAAGTCTGCCATGTGTGTAGAGACTGGGAACAACCCAGATAAATTTTCTTTGGTATCAAATGTTTGGATAACGGTTGCCTGGTTAGCAAACTCCAGAAGATAAAAATCATCATGGCCAAGTGAACCAGTAGCTCTGTATCTTTCATCATCGGGAATTTTAAGAGCAATTTTGGCCTCTGCATCTTGGTGATCATGACCTAATCAGGTCGTGATGTACATTTCCTGTTCTCTATCCTAGTAGGTCTGCCAGAGATCTTGTTCAATTTTCTGATCTGGAGACAAGCCTCTACCAGTCCCCTGATGACTGAACGTGGGTTTGAATGTAGAGCTGGTGACCCTTTCACTTCTCTCTTCTCTCTCCTGGCCACCTTCAGCTCTTTCCTGAAGGGAGAATCCACATGGAATCCTTGTCAGGTTTGAGTCCATCTATTACTTCTCTTTCTGGTGCCTGCCCAAGTCAACTTAAGGAGTCAGGAAGAGCCCTTTTTTCTCACTTAAGATTCATCTCCTTCCAGTGACAGGCCTGTTCAGTGCCTAAGTTTAAGTTCTCTTTCCTTGGGTAAAAAGTAACTGTGTTTCCCTTTGGCTGAGAAAAGCAGACCTATATGATTATTCTCCTGTAATACTTCGGGGTTACTGAAATCCCAAGAACTCTTTGTCTGGAAACCTTTCTTTCTCGGATCTAAATTTCTTCATTTCATTTTTGCTAATGTTTCCAGATTCTCAGATCAAATCCTCCCAATCCTTTTTGTTTCTCAGCTCTCCACTATGTGTAATATTAGTACAACTAGAAGATAGTCATGTTTGCTTCAGAAATTATATTAAAAATTAGATATATAGCAATTTCCCATCAACCACAATTTTTGGACCATGTTTTGTGCCAATGTTTTAAAATATCATTAAAAAGAAAGTAAAGCCTTGTCCAGACCTATGTTAGAAGGATACAGTGGGAATTTTTGCTTTCCTGTCTTTTAGACTGAGTGGACAAGGCGATCATATCAAGTGTGATTCAGATAGAGATAGATGGTCAGGACCTACAATGTCTAGGACCCAAATCCTATGCTAGACCAGCCATTTTTCCCTGTGAAGTCCCCAAAAGAAATATATGCAGAGAGGATAAAGCAAGGTAGAGGGACAATTCTTTATTAACTGAGGCTTTGACTCAAGCCAGAATGTACTACCACTAGCAATGCGTGAGGCTTCTTATAGCTTCCATTCCTGCCAACAGTTGGAATTATCCAGCTTTCTAATTTTTGTAGTCTAGAGTAAATTCTGTAAATTTCCTTTTCATATCATTTGCCCTTTGTTCTATCAGGGTTACTGTTCTGTTGTTGATTTGCAGGAATTTCTTATCTATTCTCTATAATAATCCCTTTTCCATTTTAGGCATTACAGATATCTTCTCCCATTCTGTCATTTAGTCATTTGTCTATTAACTTTATCTGTGGTGTCTTTCATTGAACAAAAATCCTTAACTTAAATGTGATGAAATTAATCTTAGGTTTTATGTGTTTCTAAGTTTTTCCCTGTTCCTAGGTCACATAGATACTCTCCCGTGTAATCTTTCGTTAACTCCACAGTTTTACCTTTTGCTGAACTTTATGATGCTGATTATTGATTGAGATTATCATCTGGTTTCTCTCCTCCAAATCTATTTCTGATGTAGAACCATCCTTGAATTCCTAGGATAAATCCTACTTAATCCCGATGTATTACTATTTTTTAAATGCATTATTGGAGTTACTTAGGTAATATTTAGTGTAGGATTTTTGTAACATGTCAATTGGACCTGTCATTTTCTCATCACTATTTGATTTTTAGAATCAAGATTGTATTAGCTTCATGAAATGTCCTGGTCAGTTTTTGACTGTTTCTTATTTTTCCAGAACAGCTTGTATAACACAGGAATTAACTGTTCCTTAAAATTTGGTAGAACTCATTGATCTTCTTTCATACTAATTGGTCTGTTCAAGTTCTCTATTTCTTTTTGTGCCAATTTTGGCATAATTTAATGGGAATTTATCCATTTGAATTTATCAACATATAGAGATTTCTAATACTTATCTATAATTATTTAAAGTATCTCCTCGTGTCTGTGCTTTTGCCTCCTTTTTCATTCTGTATTATAATTATTTGAAGCTTCTCTCTCTTTTCTTGATAACTCTTGCTTGCCAAAGATCTGTCTATCTCGTTAGTCTTTTGAAGGAATATGGTTTTTGGTTATGTTATTTTTCTCTGTTTATTGTTGATGGTGATTTTCTGTATATTATTGATATTTGCCCTTATCTTTGTTATTTAATTCCTTATTTTGGAGGTTTGTTTTTTTTTGCCTTTTCCCAACTTCTTGAGTTGAATACTTATTTATTTATTTATGTATGTATGTAT